TATAGATACACACACACACCTGGTCACTGATCATTGCCTCGTTAACCCACCATACAAACACATGCACCCATTACAATATAGGTACCTGTGAGATGGCGCTCCCACGCACCTGTGCGCAAGGCATCATCTCCCTCACAAAACCCCTTGTCTCTTAGTCCTATCCCCGAATATGGGGATAGGACTGTCGCTTCCACTGGAGGACCCGCTGCTGCTGTCCTCCGCGCTGTCTTCCAATCCAGTTGTCTCGACGTCCTCTTCGCTATCGCTGTCCGTTTCCCCATTGGGGAGTCTTGAAAGATCCTGTGCCAAGTGTCCCTCTGCCAGGTGGACAGTCAGACGAGAGGCCAGGGCACTCGGTGGCTGAGTCTGCTGGCTGGGGAGAAGGCCCTGGGGCTCCCACTCATCACACAGACACTCAATGTAGACAGAGCCTGTTCTGGTGTCTAGAGACCCCATGTTCGTCGTCAGCGTGGTCAGAGGATTAACACTCCCAGAGCCCAAGTTGCTGCATCTCATTCACAGTGATGTGGGATGGAGCCTCACAAGGAGCTGGCAAAATGACCAGGAGGGTCTCACTCCTTTGCCATGGGATGGGGGAAGGCGCTCCCCAGTCCCAGCACATGGGAAGGAGCATCCAAGGAACCTGTCACTCTACACAAGGAGATTGGAGGCAGGGGCTTCCCCTGCCTGCCTCTCCCTCCTGCAGCCAAACACAACCCCCTGCAGGACCAGGAGAAGCAACTCGGCCCAGAGGGAAGACAAGAGAGGTCCCCCACGAGAGAGGCCAACACATCCCATCTGCTGCTGCCGACCTTTCATTCAATGCAAGAGAGTCACAGGGAGGTTGGGAGAAACAAGATAAAGCGAACACTGATTCTGCTCCAAGAAACTCTTTGTTCCTGGTTCCTGTGGATCTTAGGAACATGGGATACAGGGCAGATGGGGCATCTCACACCCAGTCCTTGGCTAGTGCCCACAGCCGGGCTACACAATCCCTTCCACACACAATTCAAAGCTCCATTTTACAGCTAGTGAAGTCTGGTCTCTCCACTGCCTAAACACTGCTGTGGAGACCCCAGCCCAGTCGCCCCCGGGGTGCAGCCTCCCCACATCAGACTGCAGGGAAGAGCCCACAAACAACCCCCAAGTCTATTAACACCCCAGCCCCAGCTCCGGGTCACCGTCTGCAAGGAGGCAGGAAGAAAGAAGCAACAATTACCCAGGCCTCCCCTTTTCCAGGGCAGTGAAATGGGGTTAAAGTGCTCCCAGTATGGAAACCTCTAGCTCCCACCAAAACCAATACAAAAACAGAAGAGTGTCCTGCTGGCTAGAACCTGAGCCTAGGATTTAGAGACCCAGGTTCAAATCCCAGCACTGCCACAGACTCCCTGTGTGATCTTGGGCAAGTCCTTTGGCCCAGTGCTCCTGTGAGGCAGGAATGATAGTAATGAGAGGGGCGTTGTGCGGATAAAAACATTAATGCTTGGGAAATGCTCGAGCATTAGGGGCTGGACTAGACGACCTTCTGAGGTCCCTCTCAACCCTAATTTTCTATGATTCTATGCTATGGCAATGATGAGGACCCAACAAATGCTAAGGAAGGTAAGAAAAGGATTTAGCATGTGCTTTTGGCCTGGAGAAGGATATCCATACATGGTGGGTTTAAAGGGTGACCTTGAGGAGGGGAAACAAAGAGCTGGGACCCCTCTCCCTGGCACCCGAACAGCCCTGCAGCATGGGACCATTTCCCCACTGTTTGCCATAAAGCAGGAGAAAAAAATCAGTCTGGCAGAGTGCAGAGCAGCCTGGTGATTATAACGCTTTCACCTTGCAGCAGCTTTGAACAAGATGTGGCTGCACACACCCAAGCTTCAGAAACCACCCACAGATTATGGCCACCAGGGGATTGGGAAACTCTGGATTAGGAGGAACACCTTCTTCCTGCCAGAGCTGTGAACAGAACTAGGGAATTAAGCGATTAGCCTGCTTTCAAACCAGGAAGAACCATGCAGCAAAAGCAGAGGATATCCCAGGCTGCTCAAACAGCCGCTGCTTCATGCGGCTTCAACCAGAAGAACCACAAGTTTGTTTCCAAAACTCCCCAGGGCAGCCCCTGCCAGGGATCAGCAGATTCCACCAACCTGTTTGGGGTTTTCCTGTGCACGCTCCCTGCGAGGGATCTTTTTCCCCTCCCCAGGATTCGAGCGCCGGCTTTGCTGGTGTCTCTGCATAGAGCTGAGACTTGGCCCCCGCTTCTAGTTCTTTTTGCTTTCGGCTTCGGGCTTTTGCAGGTAGATCAGGAAAAAACCCAGAGCCAAGAAGAGCAGCAGCAGCAGGAGAAAAGGCAGCAGCTCGAGCATGGAATGCAAATGCAAGATGGGCATCCTCGCAGCATCGGCCCCACCACCACGAAAGCGCCCCCTCCCTACTGCTGTCCTTACTGTTCAAGCTTCCTCGGGGTCAGTTGTTGCCAGAGGGATGGATTCTTTCCATTGCAGACCTGAGGGTTTCCTCTTAGGTCATTTCCTCACAGCCTGAGCCAAAGGGGGAGGAGGAAGAGGAGAGATACAGCAGCAGTGCCACCTCCTGGCTCACTGGAGCCCAGCCACTCGTCTCTGGGCATCCCAGCTCTGCTCCTCTTCATCAGTCCAGGACCTGGGGATGAAAACATTTGCATTTGCCTCTTAACTCTCTGTCTAAGGCTATAAATGAACTGCAGGTCTTTGACAGTCCCAGCTTTTGGCCTCTCCATGTGAATTTAGCTCTGGGGAGGGCTGAGAGCCAGGTAGGCTGAAGGGCTCTACTGGGACACAGGCAAGGGACAGTGAAAAGAAGCCGCAAAGCAGATTTCTTGCATTGAACTGAAAATATGCCCCAGCCCTGCCTGGACTTGGATCTCTTAGTAAGGGGGAGAAAAGCCCCCACTGCAGGCTCTGTTCAGTTTGGGCTGTGCTGGCACTGCCAGCTTGGGGAAGTGATTTGCATTCATGCCGGTGGTGTGCAAAACCATGTGCAAAACTTTCGAACTCTTGGCTCAGAGATGGTACCTTTTATTAGACCAGGTAAGAAATCGCAAAAAAAAAAAAAAAAAAAAAAATCTTTTCCTGCAAGCTTGTGGGCATGTATGCCCTTCCTCAGGCTCAGGGAAAGTTAAAGATGGTAAAAAGTCCATATAGGTAGAAAATAAACTTCATTTTTGCACAGAGGAAGCTGAAGGTGGAAGCCTGTTCCTCTGGGTCCATGAGAGCATCTTTGTGAGTTGCTCTTTGATGCGCAGGTAAGACAGGATTCCTTCCTTGGTGGTGTCAGATGGCGGACAGGCAGGGAGGTATAGAAATCTGTCTTGTTGTTCAGCAATGAAATTTAAATCCAAAATCGGCTAAAATTCAGCATCTTCCATGTTTCAGGGATGTATTTAGGGTGTTGTTCAGTGATGTATTCAAGGTGGTGTTTAATGCAGCTGGAAAAACTTCTTACAGGGACTGGGACATGCCTCTCTCCCTAATGCCCGAGTAACACCTCTGACAGCTGTCACCTGGCAGTAACTTTCAGATCAGTTAATGCACAAGGCCATTATTCTTTTTGTGCAGTAATATGCCAACGTCTCTTCTCAGCTTAGATCAAGTGTAGCCCTATGCTTGCCTGGCAAGGAAACACTATGACCACTGAGGCGGTCTTCCTAGTCGCACCTGGGGAAGACCACTCTCCTGGCATGGGGATAATACCTGCTAAGATAATGTATAGTAAACCTCCCACTTAGCTGCTGGAGTGGGAAGGTATTGGCTTTATGTCCACTTTATGGAAAAAAGGGAGACCACCTCCCTAGCTGGCTCCTGCAGCCATATGGCTAAGGGCAAGCAAAACTTGGGGGCATCAAAACCCCAAGTCTCTGGGCTTGGGCCTCCAAGTAGGATGCCCGCCAAAGGATTTAGAAACATCTGAAGCTCCAGATGTGGGTGGAGGATGTTTGCTGGTAGTAGGGCAACTTATGGTTCTGGACTGACTCATGGATTTGGCAAATTTGACTTGGAATATGGAAAATTAAAAAAAAAAAAGTCACAGCCTCAAATGCTCCACTTGAAGGTTTAGGGTTTGTTTGCAAGCAAAGAACTGGGCATCTGAGGTTTGCTGCTGTGTTCTCTCTTCATGGCTTGTCACTGCCCTTGAAACTTGGAACCAAAATCCCTTTGCTTTTCTGTTCTCTGTCCTGAATGGCCAGACTAATCCCTGAGCATGTTGGAGCAGGGCACCTCAGACATGCTCAGGCACTGGCACTAGGATTTTACTTACAAGAGGAAAACACCAGGTATTTTGTTTTAAGACAGCAGAAGTACACAGATGGGGGGGAAAATGTATGAAGAAGGGAAAAAGGCATAATACCAGCTCATCTTGACAGGGTCACTAAGTGATCTTAATGAGGTCTCTGACCAACTGCATGCTTTAGGCATACCTGACACTTCATGCTCTCAATCGTTCATGATTCATATGTGAGGAATGCAGGGCCTGACTCCTTAGCGTGTCTTTAGATCAAGTGCAGCAGTTTTGATGCTGAACCAGGAGCTGCAATGAACACAAATTTAGCAGCTCCCAATCCAGTTGAGACACTGGGATCTGGACACGTACAGATCAAGTTGGAACTTTGTCTACCATGAATCTGCAAATTGCGTCAGACAGTGGCTGCTCCAACAGGCCCTCTCATGCCCCGTGGATTGACCAGGCCAGTGCAAATCTGTCTGGATAATCACTGTTTGTGCAGTGATGAAAAGCTGGAATGTCATTTTGCCTGGGGAAGGGCAATGCTGCCCTCTAATGACAAAGTCACTAGCAACACATTGGTTGGTTCTGCACTCATATTCTTTGGGCCTCGATTATGTTGTGACTGCAGTGAACGGGGGCCCTTAGTAAAGGTTTACTTGTCTAACACAGTCCAATTCATCATCCTGTTGCATGCATTCAAGTATTTGTGAAGAGATGAAAGACACGTGAGCCAGACATGGATGTAATAAAAATATTTAATGTTTTAGAAATGGCACATGCTTTAAGTGCATTGAGAAAACCTGCTGCAGGTCAGAAACCTAAAGACTACTGCAGCTGGAAAAGTCTGTTCAGACAATGGAGAAACAAGCTGCAGAAGGGGAAGGCCTTCAAACCAAAAGGGAAAAGAACCCACTTTGGAGCAGGTATTTCTTTCACTAACGCAACCCATTCAGTGCTTTCCATCATCCTGAGAAGCATGTGCTACAGTACATGTAGTCTCGATAACTAGTCAATGCTACATGGGGAAAAAAAAATCACATGCCAACACTGGGAAACCACTGGATTTATCAGATCAGTTGGGCACCGTGTCCAGTGAAGGTCTGTGCGTAGAGTTCCACCATTCAAGACTGTTTAGGTGCAGCTGTAGATATCCCAACAATCAGCATGTAATGCTGCAGATGTTCAATCAGCATGTAATGCTCTACCTAGTAAAGTGCTTTTGAATTCGTTGGCAAAAGGCACTAGAAAAGACCCAGGCAATCACTGAGCAGGTGGTGGGCTGAATTGCAGACGAAGCCAATCCCCGCCTGTAGGATTATATTGGAATACAATCCCAATTGCTGCTACCAATTAGACTCACCAGGGAGGTGGCTTGAACCCTACTTGAAACTGGCCTCAACGTGGGTACATACTCTCTAAGAACAGTTTTGTGATGGCAGGTGGGAGGAAGAGGGTGACCTCACAGATCTTCATCTCCCATTCTTCTGATTCTAGCTTCAGGGATACTGGTCCGGCAAAGCCCGTCAGCACCAAAATGTAAAACCTACGCTGCTAATTGTTCATATGGAGTCAAACGTCTCTTTTACCTAATGAGAGGTGCTGCTTTTGTGACTCGTATTTAAAGACTAGCAATGGGCACTTTGAAGACAGGCTCTAAAGCCAGATGATGTGGGCAAGCAGACAGGTAGTAAAGTGACTCTGTGCCATGGCTCTTTCACCCTAAGGTTGAAGCTGCTCATCCCCTGCCTCCTCCATCAGAGGCCAGGATCAGTATAAAGGCTCTCTGCCCATTCAGAGCCCCATACCCACAGCCCAGAGCTGCGTCAGCACACACTCTGGATCAAAAATGCACCACAAAGTGCCTCAAAGGACTCCGACTTCTTTGCCCTTTCTTCTGGGCAAGGCACTGTGACAACTCAAGATGGGTCACTTAATGCACAGCACAGAGAATCCGAGGCCATTTCTCAAGAGGAAGATCTGCTCCAAACTTCCCGTTTCCTGCTCCAATGCCCTGTGTGTAGCAGCGGTGGTGTTCGCACAACAAACCAGCCTCAGCCTCTCTGACTGTTGCCAGGGCTGTCTCCAGCCCCAGCCACACACTCGAAGAACAGCGTTCCCCCAAGGCGGGGCAGGTGCTCTGCAATTCCACGACTCCAATGACCAAAGGCAGAAAAGACCCTTGACTCTTCAACTCCATACCTGTCACTCCCAGTCAGATCTACTGTGCATCTGCATGGCTACAGAAGAGCTTTACAGGAGTTTATGGGAGGATGGTGGGAAAGAAAAGAAAAGCTTTCTGAAAGGGGTGCATGGAGTGTTTATATTCCCGACAGGCCTGGTAACTCAGAGATAATGGGAAGATGCGCTGCTGTGGTCTGTCTCCTCCCTTCACTTCACCCACTGTTTCCCAACCATAGACAGTCAAGGGCCAGTTGCAATTTCCCATGCTCCGGAAGGGAGGATAATGCCTCTCTACATCTCCAGGGATACTGTATGGTCAGGATCATTAGCAGGTGCCACACGTTCCAGAGGTTACAGGCTAAAGATGCTAGAGAAGGACAGATTGCAATTTATACCAAGGCTAGGGACATTGGGCATGGCTGGAAAACATCAGTGGGGTGTAGGCACTGTTGAAAATGCCATTCGAGGACTTTCTCCAGGCTCAGGGAAGGCCCCCCCTAAGTGGTGCCATCACTTCCATCTCTACATACGCACCACTTCCCACTGCAGGCTCATACCTCAGCTTCCTCTATGATTTTCCATCAGGCCCTGCAGATACTGCTTCTGCCTGCTGCAGGAATTAGCTGCTTTGCACTCCTCTAACACTTGGGCAGATGATGCAAGAGCCCTTGACATACAAAGCATTGTACCACTTCCGGGTAGCACGAGAACGAAAGCAGTGCGTCACTTGTCCCCGACGTAATGCCACCTAGTGGTGGTGGTGGAGGGAGACAAGGACAGGTACAGCTGTTGTTGAAAAGTACCCCCACAACAACAGCTCAGGACAAAAGTTAGACTGATGCACAACTGGAATTGCCAAGGGAGTGGGGATCAGTGGGATGGACTTGCTCACGCTGCAATCTGGCCAAGTCCCTGGGACTAACACCCCCACTATGACAAAAAGTGACCCAAGATGCATAGAACCAGAAGTATTTAAGGCTTTTGTACTGGCTCTTACTGGAGAGTAATAAAGCGCTGTCTAATCCCACAGAGGCCTTGGGGCCACACCCTCTGAGTCACTCACTGAATGATTCACTCATTTTTTTTGTAGCACTGTGGGCTCTCCCCATAGATCTGCTATCCAAATGCTAGCCTGGCCCCACCCTGCTTAGCCTGAGCAGACAACAGGATGAGGCAAAGACACAGTCGTTTCACTACTACATAAATCAGTTTTACCCATAAAACTAGCTGAAGCTTCAGAAGAGCACTTCCTTCCTACCTGCTTCAGCCCTTTTCTATTTACCACACACTGATTTCACTTGATCTGACACTGACAAGCCTGTTCATTCAGCCTCAAATGAGCCTCATCTTGCCAGAATAGTTGCCTTATCTAAGCAGCACTGCAAAGTAACTTAGGCTAAAGCTGTGCTTGCAAGTGGGCCAAAAACGTGTTCGTTGGCTCCACAAAGACATTGGCTAAAAATACAGAGCAAGCAATAAATCATATTTGTACGTGTGCGTGTATGTGTGCACGTGTATCTCTCTCTATATGTGAGCGTGTATGTCTATATATAATATATAATAATATCTACAGGACTTTCCTTCATTTTAAAGTAAGTGAAACTCTGGGTCTGAAAAATCTCTGCAGGACTGTTTCATCGCTGCAGTCCAATACCAAAGCACAGCCTCATGAGAAGCTAAAATGGGAATGTGGGTGGAGATTCCCTCCCGAGAGCAGCAAGAGTTAGAGCTGCCGATCTGTCTATCAAAACATTACAATGGCAAAAGAAAACCCTAATGATGCCTAGGAGAACATGCAGGCAGAGTAAGGGAGGCTCGGAAAAAATAATAAAGCTGACCAATTCCAGGAAGAGCTGGCCTAGGTTGGCACAAACAAGGTGTGTGAAGTGGCTGAAGATGTGGAGCCAGCAAGTGTCAGTGGATAGGAGGAGAGGGTGGCAAAGAGAAGGGACAGAGGACAATTGCAGATCATAGAGAGAGTGCACATCTCCACACAAGCCCTGCTACCTGTACAGCAGAGAGAGGAATATAAGGCAAGTGACAGACCCTCAAGCTGGGAGCTGAAGATCTCGTTGACATTGGTTAAGCAGCACAAGCTAAGCAAGGCAGGTCTCTGTAATCACTGGTGGGATTTCACCCACTTCATCCAATCCCTCTTCAGAGAATGCCATAGGTAGTAATGCCATTTCTTTTTCTCCCAAGGTGAGTGCCAATGCCATGGGAGGCACGCAAAAAGTGTCGAGTGTAACAACTTCAAGCAACCAGACTGATTGTCCATGACAGGTCGTGGTCACCTGCAGTCCTTTGGTTAGAGCCAAGCACCATTTTCCTCCAGAGCTATGAGATGTGCATTCGGAGCTTTGGCAGGGGGGCCTGCCCTTCCCCTCCATATTCCACGTGACACCACTACTCTTGCTCCTCCACCAAGCAACCACGGCAGGTAAGTCATGTCCCCTTCAGCCTCCCTGCCCCAGGGTCCTTTAGGGCACAGAACAGGTTCAAGAAGAGCTCATACCAGAAGAAAGTGAAGCCAGTAGAAAAGGCAGCCTTCAGCAAGCTGGGGGACAAACCCTTAAAGAATCCACTGGGTCCCTCCTCTTGCACAATCTGCGTGGCACAGTCCATGAAACCCCTGTAAGTCCGCACCTAGGGAGAAGAGGCAAGAATGAAGTGAGCAGTAGCACAAGCTAGGCGCACCCAAGCAGGGTTCTTTTGGACACACCTGTAACATACGCCACACACCAAGGGAAGGGAGGGCGAACCTGGGAGAAAGCCAAAGGCTGCATCAAAAACGCACAGACTTTGGATCAAGTGATATTAGCTGATGGGCAGTGTCAGAGAGGATTTGTAGTTGCAGAAACCACAGCTACAGAATACATCATCTGCCACAGCAGCTTATGGAAGTCATCCTAACCATATGCAGGTAAAACCTTTATACTATATCATCATGTGCTGTTTACATGACTGAGCTTGAATAGTGACTGAATCAGTGCACTGGTATCATTTTCCTTTCCTCTCTAAAGCCAGGCTTGTTTTGGAAACCATGAGTACAATTCTTCAGGCTTCTGAAGGTAAGAACAGTTGTAACTGAAATACTAAGAACCTTAAATGACCTAGCAGAAAATTGATTTTACTATCAGTGTCAGGGCCCAACATCTCAGGACCTATCAGCAGTAGGATCAGTGCTTCTTTGAGTTCTGTTTTTCACTGGAATAAAGATTCCCAGTAGCAATGCAATGGAGGAAGACAACAAATTTCTTGCCCCAAGGATTCCCGACATAGCAGCCTTAAATCTGTCAATGCTTTAAAGACTGGGTGTTGCCTGAGTCACTCCCATGATTAAAGCAAGTTGAAGGGAAGGAAAATTCCTTATGTGGTGCAGAAAAGTCATTTCTCTTTATTTTGTTTTAATACAAGGGTTCATTTCAAGATGCTAAGAGACTTGAGAGGTATTTTATTCAGATGTATAAAGTCTGTAGGCACACATCCTGACCAACGGGTATCTAGTTCATAAATCGAAATACACAATAGCAAAATGTATCTTGACACACAGATACCCACCAGCAAAAAAAAGAATAAAATAAAATCACATCCCTCCACACACTTAGCAAAGCGATACACTGCATCTGTTTTGCACCCTTGACTAATTGGCTTGCACTCTTCTTTCTAAAAGTTTCCAGAGAGATATTAGGCAATCTCACTGTGGTCCATGGAGGATAGGTACATCAGGTCCTTTTGAAGTGCTCAGCCTATCGCTGTTATACAGACATGGCGTGGTCCAAGTTGGGATGTCAGTGTATTCCACTAGTAAAAGGGCAGTTACTGCTGGAGGGGCGGTTAGCAGGACTAGCAAAAATTCTGCATTCAAGCAATAAATTAGGTAGCGTATCACAGCAAGACAGAAGACCGGAGTTTAGAACTGCAACACCTCTTTAACACACACACACACACACACACACACAAATCAGCCTTCTTGATTTTGTCATTTCTAAGACAGGATCATTTTTTCCCTTTTAAAAAATTCTTAAGATAGATGAAATTCAGTAAAATGCTGTGGGGAGTAAAAATCATCTTTTCTCTTAATCAAGGAAACTGCTTAATTGGAACAATGACTTCCTCATATATGGGAACCTATTAAAAGTCTATTTCACAGCATACTGCAAACAAGTCAAACACTCCTGTTGTGAGCCCAAAGTGGGACTCAATGGAGACCCATTCAACAACAGATGCCAGTGACCAGGTACATTTCTTGACCTAAATCCAAATACATGAAAACCAGCGGATCAAAACACCTCTCACCTGTCCAAAGGCTGCCCGTGCCTGCTCAAACCCTCCCACCTGTAGTCGCTTTTTGAATAGGTCAAAAGGGTAAGTGAGGGTTTTGCTCATGACTCCAGCACAGCTGCCACACACAAGATTTCTAAGGTTACCTGAAACAGGGAGGAAAATACAGGATGAGAATACAGGTCTGAGTCGTAAAATGTCTTTCTAGACTTGGCTAGTCATGTGAGTCTGAAGTCAAGCAGAAATGAGCTCAGCTCACAAAAGCCTGTGCTACATATGTCTTTTAATTGAGTTGGTCTATAAGATGCAAATCTTCCCTGCCTTCTGTTTGTAAAATATGTTACAGGAAAGAAATTAGAATAATTTGCATGTGAATTGAGACCAGAAATATCCTATAAAATCATCTAGTTCCCCTGCACAAAGCAACCCATAGATCCTCATCTAGCAAATCCTACCTCAAGCCTATAGCTTCTGTTTGAGTGAGTGACTCTTTTGAAAAAATACACCCTTTGTTCAAAGACTGATTTGTTCTGTTGTTCTGTCAAGTGGCAATATCCAAAAGAAGCAATGGGTTGATGGGTCCTATATCTCCGGGCTGGCTCTTAGATAAAAAGCTGGCAGCATCTGTTGGTTGTACAGAAACCAATGGGAAACAAGTTTGGTGGCCTTAGCCCTCTTCCTAAGAGATATAGGTCCACAGCACAAAGCTACACCCCGATCACCTAAGAATGAATGAGCACAAGGGACAAACTGTCCTCTCATACAGAAGGCTTTCTCTCCACTTGGTGATGCACTAAAGCAGCTGTAATTTGCACTGATTTATACTTACACTGCACAGGCTCTGACAGAGGGAGAATGAGTCTCCAGGGCTGTCAAGGCATTAGGTTTTATCAGGATGAAACAAGCCTAAAAATCCCAAAACAGTCATGGGGCAGGAGATCAATGCCCAAATAACTTGGGGGGGTATCTTAAACTGTACTGGATGAATCATCTTGTGCAAGCCAAAGATAGGGAACAGGTTGGGAAGCTAGCATTTCCCTGGGGAAGCTGAATCTCCCATGCCCATGGCAATAGCAAAAATAAGAGAGACAAAGGAACGGCTGTATTGACATGGTCTTTTCACAGCACAGGCTATGTGACTTAATTCAAGAGTTCATCTGCCACGTGTCTGTGGTATGGCTGTGCCATCAGCATCATGACGTGAACACTTTACAGTCCTCTTGTGAGGTAGGAAGCATCAACCCCATTTTTGTGGTAAGATCTGGGGTAGAAAAATTAAGCGTCTTATTTTAGGTCACGTGGGAAGTCTGGTTGAGGAAAAAACAACTCTTCAGCCCTAGGCTAATGCTCTAACCCCTGGACTCTTCCTTCATAATTGCAGATGTCACTGTCCCAAGCACTCACCTGCTTTCTTTTCTTCAGCTGGTATCACCCATTCATACATCTGCTGCAGGATATTGTAGGAGGAGAACTGGAGACCAGCATATGGGAACACGGCTATGACAGTAGGTGTCAATCCTCTGTAAAAGGTCAGCAGCCCCTCGGTCTTGTACATGGTCCCCACAGCATGACGAAGGTTCCTGTAAACCTAAACGAGGAGCAGACAGCTTCTCCTGAGAGAGGTGCTCGTAGTCAGCTGTGTAGAAGACAGGTTTTCTCCTGAGAGAGAGGATCGGGAATCCCATTTCCCAGCAGAGATATTTGGCACAAACAGGTTAACAAGGGCATTTCACGTAGCACTCACCACTGTGAGCCATGTAACAATTAACACACATGAACAATATAAAGCACATGAACCCTAGACATGAGAAAAAAGTTCTTTACAGTGCAAGTGTCCTGGGTCTGGAACAGGCTCCCCCCAGAGCTGGTGCAAGCACCTACTCTGGACTCTTTCAAAAAACATCTGGATATTTTCCTTGCTGGGATTACTTGATCCCAGCTGACTTCCTGCCTATGGCGGGGGGGGGCTGGACTCCATGATCTCACGAGGTCCCTTTCAGCCCCTAATGTCTATGAAATCTATAAATATGGGTCTTTTCCCCACGAGATTGACTGACCCAGCAGTTTCTCTACTCTAAAAGGTCCAATGGGATGTTGCATCTTGAAACTGCCCAAAACTGTGGTACTGGTGAGGAAAAGCAAAGAAGAGACAAGGGTACCCTGGGTACCCGGGAATCCTTATGCACCCAAGCTCCAGAGGACAGAGAAGGGAAGCAAGGCAAAACATCTGTGTTAGGGCAAGGAAATAGCAGGGCAAGCTCTGCACAAGTGAGCTGAATTCAGGGTGCCCTTCATAGCCGAATGTGCCAATTACAGCTTTTTACTCAATAGGTGACAACTTCTCCTGATCAGTTCCCTTACGCTGGGGGCTGGAAAACATCAGCTTTCCATGAGTTAAAACTTATACTGAAAGGTCTGGCTCCGTCTCTGGTATATGGTAATTTCCCCAACTGTTTTAGCTCAGCAGCCCTTGTTATGTTCCCCTCGACCTATCATCTCTGCTTGTTCCTGCAGTGAAATCCTAATGCTGAGTTCATGGAAATACATTGGGATGCCGTAGCAGGCCAAGCAGACGTCCAGTCAAGAAATGGCCCCGATTCAAATTCAGACACCCTCTGGAAGGCGAGGGAGAGGACCAAGCCTGGCTGCAAAGGCAACTGATTCTTGTATAAATGGGATATACAATAGGATTAGCAGGGACTGTTTTTAAACTTCATTACTGCATGAACCTAAATGTGACTCTCTCTATACAGCAGGCTGGAGACACAGACCCTCAGCAAAGAGCCGAGAAATAAATCCCTCATGTGGCTGACTGCCAAAATAAAAAACAACCCAGCAACTGTGACACAGAAGTCCCCTCCTTCTCATTTGATCACCTGTTCGGAGTCAAATGAAAAGGGCTAGGTCAAAGCACAGCGAAGAAGGACACGTCAGGAAACCCAAAGAACAACTTAGCAACAATGATAACCTTGTCACTTAAGGGCCCCGGCCCTCACCCTCACCCTCACCCTGCCAGCTGGCTGTTAGGTGCCTTTCACACCTCCCCTGCTAACCAGAATGGAGATGACCACCACCAAAAATGAAGAAGCCGAAGCTTTCCTCCCCTGACTCATACCTTAGGCTCGCCCTGAGCAGCGAAGCGGGTGCGTAGCGTGTCCAGCGGCTGGACCGTCATGGTGGCAGTGCAAGCGGACAGGCCACCACACACAAAGTGCACGGAGAAGTCGCGGGCGTTGTACGGCGTGGCAGTGTGCACCAGCTCCGTCAGGCCTTCGAAAGCCACAAACTTCAGAGAAACAGACACATGCAAGCAGGAGTCAGGGAGAAAATCCCTGCCCCTGATAACCACAACCTCCTGGCTCCTCCCTCACTCCACGGAGAAAGTCCACCAGGCAGCTGTAACCCGCTACTCCTCCAAGCCTCCAGCCATCTCCGCTGCAGCTTCCTGGAGGGTTTGCTCCAATAACACCCAAGAAACTAAAGTGCAGCAAGTCGACTGCTGCAGGTCATGGGCATTCAGACTCTCCAATTCTCCCTACAGGGGGGACAGCCTAGGATGGAGAACAAAAAGCCCTCCCTAGGAAAATCCTGTTGGGAGTCTCTCCTCCCTAATAAAATATTCATCTCTTATATATTTTCCCCTTACATCAATCCTTGCCACAGACAACACTATCAGGCAAACACGAATTAAAGGTTTACAGCACCCTGTAAAATAGCACGATCACTATCATCGATATGCTAATCCCCAATAAACGGATGAGGAAGCAAACTACAAAGACAGATGACACACCCAAAGCTACACAGCACTGGAGCGGCTGAGCTACAGTTAAATCCAGTCTCCAGCCCTAACTCTACACCAGCCAAATGTCTTCGTCCTGGCACACAATTTACCAGAGGCATGGATAAGCCCTTACAAAGAGGCGGGTAGCTGATGGGCACTACAAGAGGAGGCTGCTGATAAACCCAGCACATGAATGAAAAACATCAGAAGAAATCTAGGCCGCGGTGGCTTTGGGGGACACCCGTGTTACCTGAACCGCCCCGTAGCTGATGGAGAGGAGCTGAGCAGGGACGTGCCCCTTCCAGAAGGCTGCCCACCCTTCCTCCCGGGAGATCCGGCGCGCGGCTTGCACGATGCCGTGGTATTTAGCCAGAGGGTGGCTGGAGGAGAGCTGCTCAATCTGAAGCTGGAGAAGGGCACAGAGAATATATTTCAGCCTCATGGTTAAACGCTGACCCATGCCACGTGCTGTGACCTGATCCTGGAAACCTGGGCTCCCCCTGTACCCCCGCCCAGGGGCGCAACTGGGACCGAACGACAGCGCAGCACCAAGACTAAAAACAGACGGCGGCTGCATCTGGGGCTGCATCAAAGCAGGAGGAGGGACAAGCCCTTACGCGCCAGGCTTAAGGGGCAATGAACTGAATTAGCTGCAAGGCAAACTGTTAACTTGGGGCCTGCACCAGGGCTGCTCGCAGGGCAGCGGGCCTGTCTGCCTGGCAGGGCTGGGGCTCACCCTGATCTGAATCAAGCCCCAATTTGAATCAAAAGCTAGTCCAAATCATGATCTAATTCGAATCAAGCTCTGATCCAAATCAAAAGCCAATCCGAATCAAGATGTAATTCGAATTAAGCCCCGATCCAAATCAAGAGCCAATCTGAATCAAAATGTAATTCGAATTAAGCCCCGATCCGAATCAAGAGCCAATCCGAATACAGATTTGATTCGAATTAAGCCCCTGATCTGAATCAAGAGCCAATCCGAATCTAGATCTAATTCGAATTAAACCCTTGATCCAAGTCAAGAGCCACTCTGAATCCAGATCCAATTCAAATTAAGCCCCTGATCGGAATCAAGAGCCAATCCAAATCCAGATCCAATTTGAATTAAGCCCCTGATCCAAGTCAAGAGCCAATCCAAAACCAGATCCAATTTGAATTAGGCCCCCGATCGGAATCAAGAGCCAATCCAAATCAAGATCTAATCCAAATCAAGCCCCCAATCCATATCAAGAACCAATCAAAATCCAGATCTAATTGAAATCCAGCCCCCACTCCGAATCACGAGCCAATCCAAATCAAGATCAAATTCGAGTTAAGCCCCCGATCCAAGCCAGGAGCCGATCCGAAGCCAGACCTAGTTCGAATTCAGCCCGGATCCGATGGAGCCGGGACGCGGCGCCGCGCGCACGCGAGGCCGGAGGGGAGCACGGACCTGGAAGCGGATCTTGATGACGTCCAGGGGGCTGATGAGCGCCCGCGTGACCAGCCCCGAGGCGGAGC